CCCGGTGACCACCATTCTATTTTCTGTCTCTGCCACCAGCTTCTTCACACGTGGCTTTGGAGTGTAGCGCCGTGTATCCACTCTTTTCTTCCCAACAGAAATCACATCCTGGCAGGGGACTGGGGTCGTGGCTCAGTGGTGAAGCGCTCGCCTAGCACACGTGAGGCACTGGGTTTGATCCTCAGCACTGCATAAGTATTTTTTTAAATGAGCAGATATTATATTTTAAAAAATAAAGAAATCACATCCTGACACATTTACTATCCATTGCAAAGGGCACGGTGCTCTGGGCGTGTACTGGTTCCCTGTGTGCCAGTGCCAGGCGGGAGCTGAGCTCAGCACTCAGGGACCCAGATGAGAGGAAGGTCAGCCCTGACTGTGCAGCAATGATGGGAATGGCCTGTACCTGCACCGCCTCGGACCTGAGCCGACCATGTGACAGAGCACCTAAAAAGTACCGATGCGTAACCGAATGTAGCACTAGCACTAGGATTTAAAGACAGTACAAAACTGGGCCTGGTCGTGCATGCCTGTAATCCCTGTGGCTCAGGAGGCTGAGGCAGGAGGATGGTGAGTTTGAGGCCAGCCTCAGAAACTTTGTGAGACCCTGTCTCAAAAACAAAGAATAATAAGAGCTGGCTCCGTGGTAGAGTGCCTCTGGGTTCAATCCCTATTTACCCCCCACCCCCCAAAAAAAACACTTTGTGCAAAAGAAGAATGTGGGTCAGTGTGATAGGCCTGTAATTGCAGCTACTCAGGAGGCTGAAGCAGGAGGATTGCTTGAGCCTGGTGGTTCAAGGCCAGCCTGGACAACATAGTGAGACCCACAGCAACATAAAATATCTCGTTGATAATTTTTAAATTTATTGCATGCTAATGAATTTTAGACATTGTGTAAAATAAATACATTTTTAGATGAACTAACTTGTTTCTTTTTACTTTTAAAAATATGGCTGTAGCTCAGTGGGACAGCACTTGCCTAGCAAGTGTGAGGCGCTGGGTTCAACCCCCAATGTGGCGAAAAATAAAGAGAGAATAAAAAATGTAAAAGCCAGGTACAGTGGTGCACGTCTGTAATCCTACCTTGGGAGATGGAGGCAGGAGGTTCCCAAGTTCAAGGTCAGCCTGGGCCACTTAGCGAGACCCTGTTTCAAAATAAAAAGGGCTGGGATGTATCTCATGGTAGAGTATCCTGGGGTTCAATCCCCAGTGCCACAAAAATTAATACATGAATAAATACATACCTACATACAGAAACGGCTGTGGAAAGCACTGAATCATAAACGAGACTCACGCTACTTTTCTGGGGGACGTGGTAATGGACGTTTCTGATGCCCACCGCACACCAGGCAGTGGACGTGTTTCTCCTGGTTCGGGGGACGGTCACATTTTACACAGATCTGTCTCCTGGCATTATATCACTTTTTTACAAAAATCAGCCCGATGTGCCTCAGCCCCTCGGAGTCTCTGCTTCGAGCTCCCGCAAAGCCACGGTGGGTGGCTGCCAGCAGACCGGGTCGTGGTGAGCAAGCGTCTCTAGTGCCACCGTGCATGGGGACTTTCCAAGGTTTCTCAATTCAGTGCTCCCCAGCCCCTGAGCCCCGAAACCACCATCCTTCTCCGAGTTGACCTTGGTGTGAATGAAAACAAGCCCTTCAGAGAGACCCATCCCTCAGGACCCTGTGGCCATCATGACTATGTAAATCTGTACCCTAAAATGACATGGGTTAAGCTTTCGTTATGTGTGGGTTGGACTCTTGATGTCACAGAGGCAGATCAGTGGGCGCTCAGAGACGGGGAGGAGCCGCCCCACGTCACACAGCAGTGCTCTTCCCAGAATCCCCTTTTGTCGAGTAAAACAGATGAAATAAATGTGATATAATTTTATGCCGTGATAAACCACACAAGAATGTTATTTCATCTCCCAGGACTGCAGTGCCTATTTGTCACAAATCAAACAGAGAGGTTGGTTTCCGTTCTAAGGGCACTCGGGTACCTTATAAAATGGTGATTAATTGGGATAATTTTTCAAATTAGTGATCCAGCATTCCGGGAATCAGAATGTGTTCCTTTTTGATTCACCAAACGAAGCCAAAACTGCTCATGTCTCTTAAGTGGTAAACCGTTCCCACTTCCCACCAGACAAATCCTGGGAAATAAAGAGGGATCTTTCCTTTTTATTTGTTTATTTTTTACAGTGATTTTCCTCGGTGTGGACATTCAGATATTTTTCTTTCTTAAGCTACAAACATGTATTTTTAAATTTTTTTTTTTTCTGGTACCAGGGATTGAACCCAGGGGGACTCCATCACTGAGCCCCACCCCCAGCCCTATTTTGTATTTTATTTAGAGACAGGGTCTCACTGAGTTGATTGGTCCCTCAACGTTGCTGAGGCTGGCTTTGAACTTGCGATCCTCCTGCCTCAGCCTCCTGAGCCACTGGGATTACAGGCCTGCACCACCGCGCCCAGCACCCGTGTTTACTTTAACGAGATATAGACAACCGAGTTCTAGCCGCTTTACAAGAAATTGCCGTTTTGCAGAGATGGGGAAAGCAGAGCTTCCTCTTATGGTTCTCCTGGGCTGGCTTCCCAGCAGAGACGCGCACCCATTTTGAGAAAAAAATAATGAAATGCCCCTCCACTGTTACAGTAAGTTTTGAATCCAGTCAGGCAAATGTGTTTTCTTTTAAGCATCCTTAAATTAACACAGCAGCAAAGGTCTGTGAGCTCTACTTCTTTTTAAAAATTTTTGACTTGTTCTTTTTAGTTATACATGACAGTGAAATGTCTTTGGACGTAGCATACACACATGGAGTGTAACTTCCCATTCTGGTGGTTGTACTTGCTGTGGAGTTGCCCTGGCCATGTGTTCATATATGACCCTGGGAACGTTAGGTCTGGTTCATTCCACTGTCTTTCCTACTCCCATCCCCCCTCCCTTCCCTTCACTCCCCTTTGTCTAATCCTGTGGACTTCTTACCCGCCCCCACCAGTGTGTTAGCATTCGCATCCCAGAGAACATTGGACCTTTGGTTTTGGGGGATTTAGTTTATTTCACTTAACATAGTCTCCAGCTCCATCCATTGACCAGCAAATGCCATAATTTCATTCTTCTTGAAGGCTGAGTGATATTCCATTGTGTCCATGTACCACATTTTCTTTATCCATTCATCTGTTGAAGGGGCTGTAGGTTAGTTCCATAGCTTAGCTGTTTTGAATTGAGCTGCTATAAACACCTGATGTGGCTGTGTCACTGTAGTATGCTGTTTTTAAGTCTTTTGGATATAGACCGAGGAGTGGGGAGACTGAGTCAAATGAGGGTTCCGTTCCAGGTTTCCTGAGGAATCTCCATACTGCTTTCCAAAGTAGTTGCACCAACTTGCAGTCCCACCAGCAGTGTGAGAGTGAACCTTTCCCCCACATCCTCGCCAATATTTGTTCTTGCTTGTATTCTTGATAATTGCCATCCTAATTGGAGTGAGATGAAATCTCTGTAGTTTTACTTTGTGGTTTTAATTTGCATTTCTGTAATTGCTATTGATGTTGAACATTTTTTAAATGTATTTGTTGACTGATCATATTTCTTCTTCTGTGAAGTGTCTGTTTGATTCCTTTGCCCGTTTTTTGATTGGGATATTTGTTTTAGGGGGGTTAAGTTTTTTGAGTTCTTTATATCCTGGAGATTAATGCTGTTTCTGAGGTGCAGGGGGCAAAGATTTTCTGTGAGCTCTACTTCTAAAACATTCCCTAAATCCTTCCACTTCCTACCCCTTTTAAAGCCACCATCTGCACCACGCTGCCATCATCTCGGGGCTGGTCGACCACCACAGTCTTCAACAGGGCTCCCTCCAGTCCATACTTCACCCAGCAATCAGTGGGAAGATTTGAAGCAAAAATTGTACCCCAGGGTTGTCCTGCCAGAAACCTGCTATCATTTCCGACCTTCCTTTGAATAAAATCCAAACTCCTCGTGGCCACCCGAAGATGTGGCAGCCTTGTCACGGAGCCTCCTTTCCCCTGCCCTGGAGCTGGAGCTGCACTGACCTGCTTTCACAGCCGCCTTCTTCCAAACACATTCCAGCCTCAGGGCCTTTGCACTTGCTTGCTATTCTCTCTGCCTGGCACACTATTCCCTAAGAGTGTCATATGACTAGCTCCTGGGTCATTCTGACCCCAGGTCCAATATCACCTCCTAAGAGGGGCCTTCCCTGACCACACTGTCTACAGGACCCTGTCCAGTTGTTCCCTCTGACATGCTCTCTTTTTACTTCTCATTCCACCAACTAAATATGGTGTTATCTTCACTGTTGACTTGTTTATTAACTGTGTCTCCTGTTCTTCAGTTGAGTTCCATAAGAATGTGGATTTGCCCGATTTGTTTAGGGCTTAGAAAAGTACTCAGTAAATGTTTATTGAGTAAATGAATGAATGAAAAATTAAGTCAGAGAGAGAGAGAGAGAGGGAGGAGAGGAGCCAGGGAGGGAGAAGGCGGGAGGGAGGGTCCTAAACCAAATATAGAATGACACAGGGATATGATGCCTTGGTTACTGCTTAGCTGGATCATTGGAGCCACGTTATGTGACCTCACCTTCGTGACATTGCACAATAATGGTCCAGTTTTACTTGACTCTAGTCCCTCAGCCCAAGGCTGCTGTTTCTCTGTCGGTGTGTCTTCCTGTCCTTCCCACCCCCTGCCAGCAGGTTTTATTGTTATCCCCATTTTGCTGGCGAAGAGCTGAGACTGGCTTGGGTGACAGGAGAGTGACAGGTGGGTGTGAGTGAAGCCAGGTGCCGAGGGTTAGCTTGGGCGTTCTGACCAGGGGCCGCAGCGCCTGCCACCCACTGCCCGCCCCGCTGCCCGCACGGTGGTGTTCCCATTGTCCCCCTGACTTATCCTCTGAGTCAACTCCCCAGCCCGCTGGTACTGGACCAGGTCAGGCAGCACCAGCAGACTCCCCTGCTGGGCTCTGGACAACCCGGGCTCCCTTCTGCCTGCAGGATGGGGTGCGTGAAGTCCAAGTTCCTCCGGAATAGAGGCAAGGCCTCCAAGTCTGAGTCCAGCACCAACCTGCAGAGCCCTGGGTACATGCCAGATCCCACGACCCCGATCAAGTTGGTGAGTAGGGGCGGGACCTGCCGGGCCCCCGACTGCATCTCTTCCCCAGGCTGTGCAGGGTGTGGTGGGGACGGGGTGGCACTGCCTAGCCATCAGCAGTGCCCATGCTCTCCAGAATACCTCTCCGGATACTTCCCAGGCAAGGACGTCCCTCCCTGTCCTACAGAGCACAGCCTGAGATGATATGAGCTTCTGATGCTAGTGATGCCCTGAGCGGACCGCAGGTCACAAACCCGAAGGCACCCACCCCCGGGTCTGCTCCTCTTCTAACCTGTGTGGCCCTGGGCCATTTCTGGGTTGAAGGCTTCCAATTCCCAGGTTCTCAGAGACCCTCTGAGTTGTCACCAGCAAAAAGCAAAGGGTTTCTCCCGCCAGTGTCTGGTTGTCCTCTCTGAACATCAGATTTAAGGACTGTAGTTATCAGCGGTTCCTTGTTCCTCCGCTACAGGGGACCGTGTGGGTTCCCAGGTCAAACCAGTTTGGGACACACAGGGAGAAACGGGCCCTTCCCTGCAGGTCTGGGGAATGTTGGTAATGAACTTTGTGAATCTCCACCCTCCTCAAAATCGTGTCTTCCACAGTGTTCCCTAATTTCTTCAAGCGAATGTTTAATGACACATGTGACAGACAAATATACTCTCCTTGAAAACAGAGAATCACAGATGACAGCTAGAGCCGCAGCACCCACTGTCCCATGCTCCCCCCCACCCCGCTTGAAATGCCCCAGCCCCCAGAGGGATCCGCGGTTGTCAGTGTGGAGTGGACCCTTGCAAAACGTTTAGCATAAATTTATACTCACACGTCTAGTGTGAGGCCATGGAAAATATTGAGGATATGTATTGTACTTATCATTCTGTAGAACTAGCTTTTTTTTAATCCAATGATGTGTCTCTGAGGTCAAGTTCTATGAACCTTGACCTTCCTCTTCTAAGAGATGCTTAGAGCACCACCATCTGAGTGGCAGATCCCCTTTGAACCGACACTTAGATTTTTTTTCACATACATAATGGAGTCTTTTGTTCATGGGAAATATTAGTAGACCTACGATTTCTTCAAACATTGGAAAACACTGATCTGGACCAACTCCCTCATGTACACGGAGAGGAAGTGTCAATCCAAGTATGTCCAAAGCAGAGGCCCTAAACTCAAAAAACCTGATTCTTTGTGTTGACTCTGCCTCTGATGTGCTGTGTGGTCTTGGGCATGTTCTCTGACCTCTCTGGGCCTCCTCCCATAACACATAGGACTTAGGATAGGATGGGTATCCATTTTTCCCCCCTGTGGAGCTGGGGATGGAACCCAGGGCCGTACCCCTGAGCTACACCCAGCCTCTTAAAAACACACAACTTTCATGGCTTCTTGCACATTCTCAGATTCATTTTCCTCTCTCTCTTCTTCCTTCCAGGGGCCTAACTACAATGGCAACCCCCCAGGGTTTGTGGAGGGTGAGTATCTGGCAACCGGGGTCAGTGGAGTGGGGTGCTATGGAGAGGGTTAGGTCAAGTTCTCAGTCCAGTTTGAGTCAAAAATCCCAGAGGGTCAAAAACATCCTGGAACACCCCTGAAGCGCCCTGAGACTCTGGCCCAGGCCCTGGCGCTCCTGTCACACTGTCCAGGGACACGAGCAAAACACTGTTCCCTCTCCACCCCTGAACCGTGCCGCATGGCAGGAGCCTGCTCCTGCTGGGACAGCAGAGCTGCCGTCCAGGGCCGGGGCTGGACCCCGCGCCTCACCTTCCCGCGCCTCTCCCTCCAGCAGGCTCTGAGGACACTGTTGTGGTCGCCCTGTACGATTACGAGGCCATCCACCGTGAAGACCTCAGCTTCCAGAAGGGGGACCAGATGGTGGTCCTGGAGGAGTGAGTCCCACCCTGTGCCCAGCTCGCCCACCTCAGTACTGCATTCCACCCTTGTCTTCAGGGAAGGCCCGATAGGCTGGCTCAGGAGTAGACGGCTGTGGTCCCAACAGAGGAGACAGAAGGGGTGGCTGTCACCCCGATGGGGGCCACTATAAAGGGGACCTAGCAATGGCGCAGCCCAGGCAGAGGGGAGCAGGCAGAGGTCTCTCGAGTTCCCAGGCTCCATCCCCTTCAGCTGTGGGGAGAGCACCAGCCAGTGCTGGGCCGACGGGGGAGCAGGGCTTGCTCAGCCACACCCTCTGGGCCCAGCAGAGCCCCTGTGAGTCCCCATGGGCACCAGGCCCTGCCTTGGGCCAGCTACAGGGCCAGTGAGGGCGAGCAGGGCAAAGACCCAGTCCACGGGTCAGGGACAGGCTTGAGCCTCACGCTCAGTGGGGACTGAGTCCATATCGTGTCGTGTTGCTCAGGACAATCTTGGCTCAGCCCTCTTCACCCTATTGACCTCCTGGGGCTGGGGGGGACTCTCTAGGCCAAGTTGGGGTGACCTGAAAGGACTGGAGAAAGGTCCCTCTGCTCCCTGACTCCCCCGTCTTTCTTGTCCCTCAGGGCTGGGGAGTGGTGGAGGGCGCGATCTCTGGCCACCAGGAAAGAGGGCTACATCCCAAGCAACTATGTGGCCCGCGTGAATTCCCTGGAGACGGAGGAGTAAGTATCCCATTTCTTGCTTCCAGAAGGAAATGCGATTGCCTCAGGCCCTTTGCACACACTGTCTCCTGTTGGCACACTCTCCCCAAGCTCCTGGCTGGGCTGGCTTCTCACCCTTCAGATCTCAGGGAGGCTTTCGCTGGCCACCCATCTAAGGCGGGTCCGCTCTGCAACTCTCACTCATGTGAGCCTCTTTTATCCCCCACAGAACACCTCCTGCTAACAGAAAACTGATCTCGTTTCTTTGGTTATTCACCTGTGCATTGTGCACCTTCCCTGCAAGGATAAGCGCTGGAACTTGTGCTCTCGACTTAGACTGCTTGGATTTGAACACCCCCTCTACAATTTCCAAGTTTTGAGACCCCAGACAAGTTGGCCGCCCATCTGTTTTTTAATTTCCTCACCTATAAAATCAGAATAAGAAAGGTGATAATTCCATAGAGTTGCTAGGTGGATAAGAAGAGCTCAATGAATACTAGCTATCTTTCTCCCCAGGTGATAACAGAGGAAACAGTGGCCCAGAGAAGGAAAACAACTGGCTTAAAGTCACACAGGGTTTGTGGCAGAGCCAAGGCCACCTGACATCTGTTCTGAGGCTTTTTTTTTTTTGGTACCGGGGATTGAACCAGGGTGCCTAACCACTGAGCCACCTTCTCAGTCCTATTTTGCATTTTATTTAGAGACAGGGTCTCCCTGAGTTGCTTAGGGCCTTGCTAAATCGCTGGGGCTGGCTTTGAACTCACTATCCTCCTCCCTCAGCCTCCCAAGTTGCTGGGATGACAGGCGTGCACCACTGTGCCCGGCTTTTCCTATCATCCCTGTGAGGGTAGGGATGGATTCAACTGGGGCTACTTGAACTTTTCTACCCAATATTCCAAATATTCAGGAAGAATGAAGAAAAGTTCCTAGGGTATGATCCCAATTATAAAACTCTTTTCAATCTCAGGTTCAAGCCTAGGAATTCATACAGACTTTACTTTCAGGATTCGCAGAGGAAGATTGACAGGAAAGCTAGGGAGGTTCAAGCCCTCACTCCACAGACCCCAGGGCCCTGAGAGGGAGCCTCCCGGGGTCACCTGTGCTTGTGAAATTGCAAAATTAAGATGCTTGTCCACAGCTGGCTAGGACAGTTGTCCCTGTTTGGGTCTTCCTATCCATCTCCCTGTCTTTCCGACTGAGTGGCCCTGGAAAGACCATTTTGCATTGGTAACACCGCTTCATTTTTTTGAAGTCCCTCCCCCAAGTGCCCTAGGCTTCAGTCTCAGCAATCTGGATTTGCCTCTGGCAAAACATCTGTTTGGACATCAAAAGGTGATTGTTTTCTCCAAAATCTCAGAGTCAAATGATGCTGCAGAAAGCCAGCCCGCAGCCTCCCGTTGTCCTCCACTGAGCCCCGCGGGGCCCCGGGGCTCTGCGTGAGCTGGACAGACCTCTCCCCGCTCACCACCTCTGCGTCCCTTTCCCTCAGGTGGTTCTTCAAGGGCATCAGCCGGAAGGACGCAGAGCGCCACCTCCTGGCTCCCGGCAACGTGCTGGGCTCCTTCATGATCCGGGACAGCGAGACCACAAAAGGTGACGCCGGCCCTCCCCACCTTGTCCCGTGCCTCAGGCGCGATGCCTCCACCCCACCCTCCGAGCGCGCTCCGTGGAGGGTGGAGCGACCCATCCAGGTGGCCAGGCAGCCGGTTCTCTCCTGCCCTCTGCAGGCGGGGTCCAAGCTCTGGGCCCGGTCGAGCCCCAGGAGGCCAGGCCCCCAGCTGGCTCCGGATCCATCCAGCCAACACCTGGGAACTGGATCTTCTCTAGCTTGTATCCCCCCTGTACCAGGGAGAACCCAGGGGCCTCTACCCTGAGCCACACCCCAGCCCTCTCTATTTTTCATTTTGAGACAGTCCACTAAGTTGCCCTGGCTGGTCTTGAACTTGAGATCCTCCTGCCTCACCCTCCCGACAGACTGGGAGTATAGGTGTGAACGATCACATCTGGCTACTAGCTTTTATTTGTTTATTTATTTGAGCCAGGGATTGAACCCAGGGGTGCTTAACCACGGAGCTCTGTCCTCAGCCCTTTTTATATTTCTTAGAGACAAGGGCTCACTAGGTTATTTAGGGCCTTGCTAAGTTGCTGAGGCTGGCTTTGAACTTCCAATCCTCCTGCCTCAGCCTCCCGGGTTGCTGGGATTACAGGCGTGTGCCGTTGTGCCCAACTTGGCTTTTATTATCATTTTGTAAATCACCATATACCTCGTCCAGAAGCCTAATTTCTCCCTCTATAAGGAAACCGGGTAGGGTGAGGCCGTGGGAAGACCCAAGCCGGCCTCCTCTGGACTCTGCCTGAAATGCTCCTTGGAGGAGGTGTTCGGAGGTTCTGTTGCCTGGAGCAGCCTCCTGAAGTCCCTGTACCCTGAAGATGACATCTTGCTCAGTGGTGATGGGAGGGCGGGAACAATGCCTGAAAACCTTGTGTGACAACCTGGCCTCACAGGCTAGCTTTCCCCAGGGGATGGGCGACTTTACGTTAAGCTTCTGTAGTTTGGTTTCCGTGCTGCTGATTCACATAAACCAAGCAAGTTGTAGAAAGTGGGACCTCGCGGGACCCTAAAGCAAACCCTTCTGGGAACATTGATCAAAGCATCAGTGTGACCAACTGGACCCCTGTGACTAGGACAGTGTCACTCACGGTCAGTGTTGCAGGTCAGAGATTGTTTACTGTCTCCCACCCAATAAGCCCCCGTCGAGGCCCCAGGGGGAAATGAACAGAGACCAAAAGAAAGACCAGGCTTCCTGTGGCCCAGCAGCTCTCCTCTCTGGTGTGCCCAGGACAGCTTGGGGACTGGGCTGGTCCATGCTGCAGACAGGGACAGAGCAATCAAACAGAGTCTCACAGGCCGGTGGGGGCAGGAGCGCAACCCTTGTCCAGCCCTCACAGCCTCCACGGCAGGGGCATGACGGCTGAGCCACCATAACAAAACCTGCAGCACGAGGCCCCCGAATACCATTCTGCTGGCTTTGGGGATTCTTCCCACCCCATGGAGCAGGAGTCAAGCCAGCCTCATCTGGACTGGGACAGAGTGACTAAGAGGGAGCCAGTTGCTTGGGTTTGAATCCTGGCCATGCCACTTACCAGCTGTGTGGCTTTAGGGGAATTATTCACCCCTCTGGGCCCCAATCTCTTCATCTATAAATCAAGGCTGGTAATATTATAAAACCTCTACCTCATGGGGTTATTCATGATTGTAAATAATGTCATTAATATAATTAGAATTCATTATAATACATATTATTCCTTTTCATTCATTGTTTATTTGTACAGGGTGCTTAGAACAGCTCCCGGCATGTACGGTCAGCAGTTAGTCATTCAACAGTTGAGCTGGGCTGGGCTCAGTGGCAGGTGCCTGCCTTAGCATGCACAAGGCACTGGTTTCGATCCCCAACACCTCCAAAAATAAAGATCGATCCAAAACAAACTTCCCCCAATCCTGTGAGGAAGGTGGAAGATGAGGGCACCAGCTCGCAGATGGCAGACCGTGGTCATGGACTCCGAGACTTGTGTGTTTCTGGTCCAGGTGATCACAGTGCAGCAGGTTCCCATGTTGCTGTCACAGACTCAGTGGCTCAGACCCTCGTAAACTTGTTACAGTTCCCGGGGTCAGAAGTCTGACCTCACTGGATTCAGGACAGGTGTCAGCAGGCTGGTCCCTCCTGGAGGCTCTCCCTGCCTGGCTCTGGAAGCCACCAGCATTCCCTGGTTCTTGGTCCTTCCTGATGTCTCTCCAACCCGTTATCTCCACCTTCACACCTCCTGCTGCTGACCTTGACCTTCTCAGCCCCCCTGCTCGGGACCTGTGCTTACCCTGGGGCTCCCTGGATAGTCCAGGATAATGGCCCTGGCTCCAGATCCTGAGTGTAAAGTCCCCTTTACCATGTAAGGTGGCCTGTTCCCAGGTTCCAGGTATGAACATCTTGGGGACCCCTGCTCAGCCTAGCCTGCCACCGCGTGGTCACATGTCAGTAATCGGATCTTGTGTGTGATTTGTCCTTTTATTTGTTTGTTTCTGCATAGTCTGGCTTGTTGTTTTTTGTTTTTTGGTACCAGGGATTGAATCCAGTGGCACTTAACCACCGAGCCACACGCCCTAGCCATTTTAATATTTTATTTAGAGTTAGGGTCTCACTGAGTTGCTTATGGCCTTGCTAAGTTGCTGAGACTGGATTTGAACTCACGATCCTCCTGCCTCAGCCTCCCGAGCTGCTGGGTTTCCTGGGGTGCACTACTGTACCCGGCACGTCTTGACTTTTTGTTTCATAGACTGATGTAAGTGGTAGATAAATACCATAAATACTGACGGTGATGATGACAGGGACCATTTACGGAGTGTTTGTTCTGAGTACTTTACAAGCATCCCTTCTTTTGATGGCCAAGCAGTGCGATGAGGGAGGGAGGTGTGTTCCCATTTCACAACTGAGGAAACTGAGGCACAGAGAGTCGATACAGTCTCCTCGTTCCCAAAGTGTCACGGCTGGACATGGCAGAACCAGGGTGAGAACCCGGAAGCATGATGCCACAGCCCACTCTGCCTTCTTGTGCTCCTGCCCGGGTGCCAGGGTGGAGTCAGTAGCGGCTTTGCGGAGGTGTCGAGAAAGGGTGTCGGGTGCAGACCGGAGATGGCAGGTCCTGGAGGTGCCGGCCGTCCTGAGGGGTTTCTCTCTGGCCATTGCAGGGAGCTACTCTCTGTCGGTGCGAGACTACGAGCCCCACCAAGGAGACACGGTGAAGCACTATAAGATCCGGACCCTGGACAACGGGGGCTTCTACATTTCCCCGAGGAGCACCTTCAGCAACCTACAGGATCTGGTGGCCCACTATAAGAGTGAGTCAGGCCTCAGGCCATAGGCTGCCCTGCAGAGCCCACACCCCTTGGTCTTTACTTTTCAACATCTTTGTGGGGTTTTTTGGGGGGAAGGGGTACTGGGGATGGAACCCAGGGACCTCGACCACTGAGCCCCAGCCCTGTTTTGTATTTTATTTAGAGACAGGGTCTCACTGAGTTGCTTAGCTCCTCGCTTTTGCTGAGGCTGGCTTTGAACTGGAGATCCTCCTGCCTCAGCCTCCTGAGCTGCTGGGATGACAGGCGTGCACCACCTCGCCCGCAACACTTCTGTTTTATTTGTTTTGCTTTGTGGGGCTGGGGTGGAAGCCTGGGCCTCACTCACGCTGGGCAGATGCTCTGCCTCTGAGCTGCACCCCCAGCCTTCAGACGTCCCACCACAATGGGCCTGTCCCTGGAATCCCTCTGGGTGCACTTTCTGACCCTCCCCAGAAAAACGGTTGCTTTGGATTCTCCTGAAGCCTTGGGCATGCTGGGCAAGCGGGTGGGAGAGGTGTAAAAGTGGCATCCTGCCCTGCTCTGCTCTCTGGGGGACATCTCTGTTGGTGACAGGCAGGTGGGACATCAGCCAGAACACTGCCAGGAGGCCTCTGAGGGGAAGCTACGGCAGGCTCGGAGCTTGCTGTCCTCCACTGACCCGGGGACTCTATTCCAGAGGGGAAGGACGGGCTCTGCCAGAAGCTGTCAGTGCCCTGTGTGTCCCCCAAGCCCCAGAAGCCGTGGGAGAAAGACGCCTGGGAGATCCCTCGGGAGTCCCTGGAGCTGGAGAAGAAGCTGGGCGCTGGGCAGTTTGGGGAAGTCTGGATGGGTAAGAACCCAGAGACCACAGCTCCAGAGGGAGGGCCCGAGGGGTCAGTACGTCGGCTTCCAGGAACTCCCCAGCCCAGGGACCGGGATTTGAACCAGAGTCATAAGGGGGATTCCTCTGATGGCGAACCAAATGCCCCTGCGGTCCACACGGTCCCCGCGCTGATCTGCCTCTGGTCCAGCCTGCTGGGATCGGAAGCTCCCCTAGGGGAAGTGGGAGACCTAGATGAGGAGTCCCCTGGTGGAGACGGTCTGCCATTTGGGTTCACGGACCCAGAGGCCCCTGGGGATGGTGAAGGGGAACAGTGGGGAACCGAGCTTGGACCTTCCAGGTGAGCTCAGGGCTGGCACCAAGGACAAGCTGTTCTGAGCCCCTGTCCTGTGCCCAGCAGCTCGGCAGACACTGTGTGCGAGGAAAGGCACATTCCGCCCCCGCTGTCTTCGGGCCGCGGGGTGGACACGACTCTTGGCCCAGCGCCCCCGTGCGCCCCACTGTGCGGATTCTCCACCGCGCTCGCTCCCGCAGGGGTGCAGACAGCCACGGAGAGGCCATCCGTTCCTCTGGGTACAGTCAGCGGAAGAGCCACACACTTCAAGAACATTTATTGAGCGTATTTCAGGCACTGAATCAGAAGAATGAGGCAAAAGGGAAATATGGAGAGGAACGTGGGACGGATCAGAGTAGAGCGGCCCCAGACCCTCCCTCTAGGAGGCCCCAGATCTGCGCTAGAGCTTCCTGAAGCCAAGGCCTAGAGGAGACCAAAGCGATCAGGAAATCAACAAGCAGGGTCTGAGACCCTGGGGTGGGATAGGGGCGGTGCTCAAGGGACTGAGTGGCACTCAGGGTGATTCATGTATAGGCAGCAAGAGTAAGTGTGGTAGAGGGCCGGGCTGGAGAGGTGGGCCCGCCACATCAAGGTGCATCAAGTCTGCAGTTTATCTCAAGAACAGTGTTAAGATTGAGGTGAGATGTACGGCGGGGTGTGGTAATTTAAGTGGTGTTTGGGGATCATTTTTTAATCTTGTGACAGCCCCTCAGAAAGAATGGTTATCATTTCCACTTTGCAGATGAGGAAACCACAGCTCAGAGAGGTTAAGTGACTTGCCCCAGTACACACAGCAGGGAAGCAGCAAACCAGCCTTCTAGCCCATACCTGTCTGAGCCCAAAGCTGTGCCCTCCCTCCCTGTCTAAGGGCTGGGAGGGCAGGAAAGACTTTCTGGAGGAGGCTGGTCTGCAGTTGGTCTACCAAGGATGAGGGAAGGCCCGTGGGTTCCAACCACCTTCCCTGCTCCGTGTCCCCCTTCAGCCACCTACAACAAGCACACCAAGGTGGCGGTGAAGACGATGAAGCCGGGGAGTATGTCGGTGGAGGCCTTCCTGGCCGAGGCCAACCTGATGAAGACGCTGCAGCATGACAAGCTGGTGAAGCTGCACGCGGTGGTCACCCAGGAGCCCATCTTCATCGTCACAGAGTTCATGGCCAAAGGTGCGCCTGCTGGGGCCGGGGGCGGGGCTGCCAGCTGCCGCCCATTCTGGGAACCGCAGAGGCGAAGGTGGCTGCACGTGTGGCCAGGAGTCCTGACAACAAGCGGCGGGCACCAGCCAGCCAGCCCTCCTGGATCATGGGGTCACCACGGGAAAGGGAGAACCTGGGCCACCGGGAGAGGGACGTGGCCGGAATTCCCTGAGCAATGAGGCGAGAGGCATGTGGGTCCCTGGTGGGCTCACCGTGAGCCTCAGAGACCAGGGTGACTCCTTTCCTCCTCAGCCCCCGTCGCTGCCCCC